AATTCTCTGTTCAACAGACATTACAGTAATAGTTTATTCACTATAATAATTCTCTGTTCAACAAGCATTACAGTAATAGTTTATTCAGTATAACAATTCTCTGTTCAACAGGCATTACAGTATTAGTTTATGCACTATAACAATTCACTGTTCAACCAGCATTACAGTAATAGTTCATTCACTATAACAATTCACTGTTCAACAAGCATTACAGTAATAGTTTACTCACTATAACAATTCTCTGTTCAACAAGCATTACAGTAATAGTTTATTCACTATAACAATTCTCTGTTCAACAGGCATTACAGTGCTAATTTCTTTCAGTGTTACAACTTTCTGTTCAACAGGCCTCTCAGTGCTGGTTTCTTTCATTATAACAATTTGTTCAACAAACTTCACAGTGCTAATCCCGATACAGTTCTTCCCTCCTCTCACAAGATTAGCTATTCTCGTCCATTGCTTCCATCTATATGTGAACCTATTTATATTTTGTCATGTTACAAGGTTTCAGCTCCCTCTGTAGGAATCAAATGATTCCAACTTGTCTCTCATGCAAATCATCATGCGTCACTTCTCCACAAATAGTAGTGTGATATAGTCTCATGATGCTTGAGGCTCCCTCTATATGCCTCTACCAAACAATCACTTCTTGTTTGGCAGCACTTGTGCTTGAACGTGTTCCTTTGTTTCATGTTTCACACACAACTTTAGTACACTCGCAAAATGGTTTTCATTTAAATTACTTCCGAGTTTATTACAACTGTTTCTTCACTTTAATTTAATCCCAGTTTATTACACTCACATTATTGTTAATTATTTCGATTTTGATTGACTCTTCTTGATATGAATTCCGAAGTTCATGTTACAAATTGTTGGGACCTTCGATATGTGCAACTATAACTCATGTCCATTTACCAGCATCTTATCTTCAGAATTTACATATGACCCCATTTTCACAGCATTATGTAATTTTACATGATTCCTGGGTTCTTGGAGTCATGAGTTGCTTCTGTACAACAACAGTCTACTCGTTCCACTCTTCTTGCCGTTTGTACAGTTGGAGCCCAATATGGCACCTGCTACAGTTTCTCTTCCTTGTCCTTCCCAACCCTTACCTCTCCCTCCTGCTCGGAGTGCCTTATTTCGTCGGTTTCTTTGATGACACATGTCATGTTGCTAACAGTATCTGTGACTACCCAGTGAGAGCTTGAATTGCCAATTTCCTTCATCAATGGCATCCTTCCATCAAGAATCATTGAGTTCTTCAAATTTTATCAGAGGGATTTGTGATCCCATTTATTTCCCTACCTCCCATGTCTCCCATACCCATTTCTTTCCCTCCTACTTTGGATCCAATGATTGGCAAGCATCTGTCAGAGGTGGTTCAGGACCTTTTACCTCAGTAGGCCAGCGAACCTGTTCTACATACTTCACCAATTTTTTTCCATACTCTTTGTTGTTTCCAGGAAAACCAGGGACTGTAGGCCTGTCATCGATTTGTCCTGCCTCAATTGATTTGTTCAACTGCCCTATTTTACCATGGAGACATTTCTCACCCTTTCAGATGGTCGGAGCTTTTCATTCTTCTGGCTCATTCTGAACCTGAGTTGGCCAGCCATACTCATCAGCTCCTTCATGTGGCTGCTTGGATGGGCTGATTAATCACATTGAAGAAGTCCTTCCTCCTTCCTACACAATATTTTTTCCATTTAAGTGACCTTTTTGACACTCATCTCAGTTGGTCCCAACCTTATCCTCTATGACTTCATTCCATGGAATTGTTAGTTTGCCATGCCCTTTGAGCTCACTCACTTTCTATCACCTTTGGGGATGTGGTCTTCAATGATGTCACTGGTCCCCCTTGGTCATTAACATATGCAATCTCCTCAGTGGGCTCTTTATGATCAGTGGAACTTTGCTCGGGATCCCTTGGCAGCTCCCATTACTCTTCCTCATACTATTTTTCAACCCTTATCTCCTAGTCTTGCACACTTCATGGATGGGCAAAGAGTATACCTGGTCAGAAGTGGTGTGTTTCCCCTCATCAGATCTTAAGATCTAGGGGTACCCTGCAGATGCTTTCGGGGAGTACTTCTGTCATTTCCTTGCACTAGTCCCTCCACCTTATCAATGCAGGATTCTAGCTAATCTTGTGAGTGGAGGGAATTACCATATCGGAAGTTATAATTTTCCTATACTGAAATTGTATTCCCAATAGTTACTTCCTTCCACTCACACTTCCCACCATTCCTCACCACTTTCCTCCAGTGCTTATGTATTATGCCAAACTTTGGAGTGATAGTTTGGTAGAGGCTTATAAAGGGAGCCACATGCGTCACATGACTATGTCACGCTACTATTGATAGAGAAGTGATACACGATGATTTGCATGAGAGACATGTTGGAATCATTTGATTCTTATAGAGGGAGCAGAAGGCTTGTGGGATGAAGAAGAAAAAAAAGGTTCACATATAGAAGAAAGCACTGGACGAAAATAGATAACTTGTGAGAGGAGGGAAGTACCTATCAAAAATACATTTTCAGTATAGGAAAATTATAACTTTCCTTCATTATAAAAATTCTCTGTTTAACAGTACTACTTTCTTTCACCATAACAATTCTCTGTTCAACAATACTACTTTCTTTCACCATAACAATTCTCTGTTCAATAGTACTACTTTCTTTCACCATAACAATTCTGTAATCATACAGTACTACTTTCTTTCACCATAACAATTCTGTAATCATACAGTACTACTTTCTTTCACCATAACAATTCTGTAATCATACAGTACTACTTTCTTTCACCATAACAATTCTGTGTTAAAAATTACTACTTTCTTTCATCATAACAATTATCTGTTAAATAGGCATTACAATACTAGTTTCCTTCACTATAATAATTCTCTTTTCAACAGGCATTACAATTTCTGGAATGAATACTGACCTTTTCACACAGAATAACTTCTTTCCTCTTGAGTTTGCATCATCTACCAAAGAGATTTGCAAGCCTCCAGCCTTATGAAAACTCCCACTTAATCATACAGCAAAACCCTTCACCAATAGGAGTGCAACACACTACCAAGTGAAATTAATCCCTCTACATTTTGCACTCATGAGTCCTCATTCTTTTTGGCAACACTCTTGTGAACAGATGTGTTTTGAGTTTGCTGAAATTTGTGACTTTTTGGTTTTCTTCTTTCACTTGATAGAGCTTTAACATACTCACTGTGAATTCAGAGTTTAATGTGAACTCTTCTTCAGCTGATGTGAGTGAAGATATTTCTCATCCTGAATAAAATACTAATAAGATGGGACAAATTTCATTATCTGTGGAGGACGTGACAGCTATTGTGGTGGGGTCCATGATGCAGCCAGACCTTCTGCTTCACCTTCTCTTCCCCTTCTTTCAAGCCTGAATTTAAGAGAATGAATTTGAAAAAATTCTTCCACCACTAGGTTTTGCTTTGAGAATGTTCTTACCTACTGAAGAACAATCTGTCTTCCTCAGATTTTCAAAACTTTATTACTCAGGTATGTAAAAATCTTTCTCTCTCTCTCTTCCATATCTTTTGGCTCCTCCCATTCTCTATTACACAACTCTTCCCCTCAAGCATCTGGTGACCAAAGTTTGCACCTGACATCCACATCCTGATTGAGAGGTTCTTTCTCTTTTGGGGACATTGGCTTCTCTGGAACATCTCATTCCACTTGACTGAACACATATGCATTCCATACAATGGGTATTGCACAACCAGTAGAACCTTTCCAAGTATTCACTGTTTTCACTGATCTTCATCCTTCCTTCTCTGCTGAAGGATCTTCCTTCACCTCTCTCTCTTAGGATGGGGAGCATCCTTGAACAACTGTCAGACTTCAGGTTCTAGATCCCTGGAAGAACATTAACTACATATCAATACAGATATTTTCAGAAGGAAACTCATCTAGGTAAACTTTGCATTGGTCCCTTCACCATTTCAATGTGGAATTCTAGCTATTCTGTATGTGGAGGTGAGTAATCATTTAGGAAATTAACATTTTCCTTACCTAAAAATACGTTTCCAATAGATACTCACCTCTCACACATTCTCCCCACTTTCCTGGTGCATGTTTATTTATTGCCTCATCAAAGAGTAAGGATTAATGAGCAAGAATATAGAGGAAGTCATTGTGCAGTAGTGGTGTCACACTCCTATTGGTGGAGGGTTCTGCTACAATGGAACAATTTCATGGGGTTTCATGCATGATTAGGTGAGTGTTTTCACATGGCTGGTGGCTTGCAAATGTCTTTGGCAGATTGCACAAACACAAGAAAAAAGAAACTATTCTGTGTGAAAAGGTGTCTATCCGAAATACAATTTTAGGTAAGGAAAATGTTAACACTAATTTTTTCATCATAACAATTCTCTATTCAGTAGGTATGCAAAGTTACATCCTGAGCTATGCTTGAATTAAACATTTATAATGTGCCTATCAATACAAATAATTTCATTACAACATATTTTTATAGATTGGGGCAGAACCAGCTGACATAAATGTTCTACCTGACTACAGTCATGACCCAAGGGTTGTAACCAACTTAATTGATGGAGTTTATCGCACCAAAGACGATATGCACCTGTGGTTGGCCCCTTTCACACCAGGCAACAATCACTATGTTTTCCTGCAATTTTCTCAGCCTGTTAGAGTGGCAATGATCCGAATCTGGGTTAGTGTTTATTATTCTTTATCATTAAGTTATGTGTATTGCAGTATTTCATTTGTTTCCTTACAATGTTTATAGCTTAAATGTCTGTCAGAAATACTTAAGTGATTAATGGCAAACTTTAAAAGACTTTAATTTTTTTTTTCTCTTAGTGTAACTTGTATTAACTATTCTTAATTATGTTTGTGAGTTTATAATTGCATATGTCAGTTCATCATGTGTATGTGTAGTAATTTCTTCTTTTTATTTGTATTCCAACTTTATTATTTTCCATCTTTTTCTTAGCACACACACTCACATTTATGTGTGTATATGATTCAGTGTGACACTACCTCTATCGTAACTAGCTACCTCTCTAATCATGCACTTGTTAATTACTTCTTGATTGGCTGTCTTATTGTGTAGACATGATTGTTTTCACTCATGATTTAGTTACTATATTCATTTACTTTTTACTTTTGTGTATTTTTCTACTTCAGTTGTTGTTGTTTTACCATCTTTTTGTGGAGAGTTGCATTTTCATCATCTACTCTCCCTTTTCTATTTTTTGAGTTTATGAGTTATGCCCTAGATAGTTTCAGGTGATTACAGTTGCCACTGCTGTTACTGCTACAGCGGATTTACCGGCCATGTCTACAGGGTCAGTACCACAGGTATCAGCTGCTGATATGACAGCTATTATCCATAGGGAATCGTATAATTTCAGACAACATTCTGAATAACCTGAAGATGGTCCTGTTATACTAGCACCTAAGCATGTCTTTACAGGTGGATGTTACTTTGGGCAGCCTTTTGTTTTTCTCTTTGTAGACTTGACTAAACAGGTATGTTGTGTTTTATCTTTGTCTCCTGTTTTCCTTTAAGATTCTACCCATGTCATTTTATTGTTTTTCATCCTTACCCAGATACTGAGGTTCTTGCTAGTCGTTTTGGGGAACACTTGCATTTGGGGGATCAATATTCTTTCTCCCCCACATATGTTGGCCTATCATGTTTCTGCTTTTATAGTTCCAGCTACCCATAATTAGACTCATACTTTTTGGAATTCTTCTTCCTATATGGAGTTGGACCCTAATACTTTAGTTAATTTTCCCTGTAGTATCTTTCTTTTTTTTTTCCCCATGGTATGCCTTTCCTCTTCAGCCCTTGTTTTATAGACTTGGCTGCTCTGCTGTTGGTTCTTCTTGGTTGGGAAACTGTTTTATCTAGGGATCATTTACCTTCCTTCTCATTGGATGTGAATTGTAAATGACATCTTTTCTTTTTACATCAGGTGTTTGGGGGTTTTCTGGACTCTTTGGAGTCTGGGGTTGATTCAGCTCATCTACATAACCCCCTTTCCATTCGTCCCCTGGTGTCTTACCATCTTAATTACCCCCTCCCCTCAGTGGGATTCCATTTCCTGCCAGTGTCAGTCAGAGGCAGCTCAGGACTTAAATCTCAAGGATGCTATTTTTTTATTATCTTCTCTGAACCACTTCCTCATCATTCTCAAGTTCACCACAAAGTCGTACTTAACTCTTCATTAGGTTTTCACTCCTAGTTTGTGGATAAAATAGTTCAATGTGTTTGATGTATATCTACATATTCCCATCTCCCTGGTATCCAGACACTTTCTTCATTTTGTTCATCGTGGGTGTGTGTTTCAGTTTCAGGCTTTTTCGTTTGGACTTGCCTCAACTCCTATGTATTCTGCTAAGTGGTCCAGACTTTTGCTCAACTGCTTCACTCCTGGGGCCTTCGTTTACACCTTTACATGACCGAGTGGCTACTTCTAGCTTCCTCACAGGCTGATGTTGCCCCACATACTTAGTTTCTTCCTCAGGAAGATGCCTGGGTGGGGAAGTCATTCCTCACACTTACTCAGTTTTTAGCTCTTCTTGGTGTGTTTCTCACCTCATTTCTCTGTCAGTACCAGCTTTCTCCCCTTCAGGTGAGAACTATGGAACGTCTCGTATATGGCATCCCCTATTCTCCTTTTCCTTCTGCACATGAGGTTCTATCTCTTTTGGGGGATATGTAATTCTTTCAAAACCATCATTCGTCTCGGTTGTGCCCACATACACCATCTTCATTGGGTTTTGATCAACCAGTGGTCCTTGTTCGGGTTCCCTTGGATTCTCCTCTTACCTTTTCCCTTCACTTACAGTCCAAATTTGACTGGAGGTTAGATCGGACCAATATTACTTGAAGGGTTTCCTCATCTGGAATGTCACCTTTTTATGGATGCTTCTCTTTCCATTTGGGGAGCATTTCTTGACACTTTGGAGGTTTTGGGGTGGGGAATTCTTTTTGAATCCATTCTCCTTATCAATCTCTTGAAACTTCTTTCTACATCACCAAGCATGGGTGCATCCGGTCAAGAGACCTTTATTTTTGAATTTTGGATCTTCTATATTGGGCCCACTGGTATCATATCACTTTGTTGGTATATCTTATTATGAGTGCCCTGAATCTGGTCTTGGATTGGTTACCCTGTCCCAGCAGTATTCTACCAAAGGGGTTGTTTTTGTATCCTCTCCTTTTTTGGGAGTTGTGTGTGCTTTAAGGTGTGGCCGATTTGATGCTTTTGCCTCTCATCTCAATACACATCTTCCCTGTTTTTGGTCTCCTGTTCCTCATCCATTGGTGGGAGAAGTGGATGCTCTCTGTCAGGATTGGACAGGTTATTATTTCTGTGCATATCCTTCTATTCGTCTTCATCTTTGTGTTTTATCAGTAGCTCAGAACACTCTGTGTCGAGTCCTGCTGGTGGCACCATATTGGCTGACTCTAACATGGTTTCCACTTCTGTGATGGCTTTTTGTGTCGCCTCTCCTTCCTCTGCCTTCGTCTCCCACACTCCTACGTCAGCCCCACTTAGGTGTGTGTCATTTATCTAGACACTCCCTCCATCTTCATGTGTGGCTTTTGTCCTGTCCCTTGCCTGAAGGTTAGGGTTTTCTTTGCAGGCATTTAACTTCTGTGATTTTCCATCCAGTCCATCCTTCCTCTTGAAGGTTTACCAGCATAGATGGTATACTTAATGCTGTTGTCTAGATGCCTAGGTTATCAGATCTATCACCTTACCTTGTCCTTGGGTGGGTATGTGGACTACTCTGTTTGTTTATTTTTTCTTTACAGGGACTTTTGTTACATAGCTTTTGGATCTGTGATGAGTGGTGCCCAACCAGGTGTATTTAGTCTTAAAATGTGCACTGTACATCCTGTGTCCATGCTAGATGTTTATCATGTTGAGGCTCTTCCTACAGCAAACCTGATGTACAATTCCAGATGCTGTCAATTGTCATCTATATATCAATAGCAGACAGAAATTACTGCCCAGCTCTGATGCTCTGTGGTGTTGAGACTCTTTCTACTGTGGACCTGATGTATAATTCCATGCTGCCAGGTGCTGGTTCATTGACTCCAGCATTGCAGTAGATTTGCTTTTCTAAATAGGATATCACAGTAACCCATTGCACTGTCTTCAGTGCTGCAGTTCTGGTAGTCCTTGCCAGTTCCTAGCTGCTGTGGTGGTGGACCATGGAGGCCAGTCCTCCTGAGTGAAGCACAATACCACTCAGTTGAGAGTAGGGTGGTGGCATTCTGCTGGTATCGCTGGTATGACACCCTTCCTACAGCACATCTGATATACAATTCCAGATGCCACTAGATG